AAACTTCGTTCATTTCTTTATTCAAATAGACTGATATATTGGTTACATTACTCTTTAATGAAATTTACATCTGAAGTAGATCTTTACCAAAAATCTCCGCATGTGCACAATCCATTTTTGAAATGATGAAATCTGTTGACATCTCTCACAATAAATTCTCTCTGTACAATATCACTAATAAGCTTAAATGCCTCATGACAATCCCTGCACATTCTCAAGTTCTTCATTATTCTGATAGTGATTCCTTTAGGTGTGTTTAATAATCCAAACGCCAAGGCAAGTTTCTCACTGTGTAAACTCACAATTTCCTCTCTGGCTTCCTCTTCGATATCAACAAACACCAACCCTGTAGTCACTCCCACATGCCCCCTCTCTTTCATTCTCCCTTCCAATTCCCTTAGCAAGTTTAGCATCTCCCTCTTTTGACTACACTTAGATATGTCTCCAGCATGGAACAGATAAGTTGATTCCTTTATCTCAATCCAACTGCTTCCAGGTTCCTTGAAAACTCCGGTTCGCTTCATTTTGGATCGGAGATTATGAGCATTTTCCCAATCTCCTGCTAATGCATAAGTGTTGGACAATGTAACATATGCAGCTGCTACTTGTTGGTTGGATTTTATTACCTGATTGCTTGCTTCAAGAGCGATGTCTACTCTACCATGAAGCCTACTAGCTGAAAGAAGTGTCCCCCACAACAAAGCATCGTCCTCACTTCCAACTTGAACTGATTTTGCTAACTGATATGCTTCATCGATACGCCCCACTCGACCGAGCATATCTACAGTGCATGTATAATGCCTTGGATCGGGCATCATCCCGTGTTTCTCATTCATGGAATTAAAAAGTTCAAGTCCTTTATCTATAAGCCCTGAATGGCTGCAAGCATGCAAGACTCCAACAAAAGTGATGTCATTTGGTTTTATTCTTCTATCAATCATTTCCTGAAACAGTCTCAGAGACAATGTTCCAAGTCCATACTTTGCAGCACCCACAATCATTGAAGTATAGTGAACCACTGAAGGATTTGGGATTCTCCTAAATACTTTTTCAGAATAACTAACACACCCACATTTAGCATACATGTCCACAAGTGCACTAGCAACCACATCATTCGCATCATGTCCAAGACGGATCACAACCCCATGAATAATCTTCCCCGAACCTAGCCTCCCCAAGCTCGCGCAGGCACTGACTGCGCTGCATAACATGAAATGATTTGGTTTACCCAGTCTGAAATGATTGAATTCCCTGAACAGTTCTAGAGCAAGATGCCCTTGTGCATTCTGAGAATACGTGGTGATCATGGAAGTCCAAGAAACCACATTCCTCACACACATGAAGTCAAAAACCATCCGTGCCTCGTCAACACAATTGCATTTCCCATACATATCAATAAGGGAAGAACACACAACAAGATCAGAACGGTAACCAGAAACCTCAACAAGAGCATGGATTCTTCTACCAATCTCAAGGCTGGCAAGGATAGAACATGCATTGATAAGAGTTGAAAATGTGAACTCGTTTGGCATAACCAATGTTCCTTGCGTTTGCATTTGCATTTGATGGAAGAGACATAGTGCCATATTGGGTTGACCCTGGCTGACATAACCAGCCATAAGCAAAGACCAAGACACAACATTTCGGTGAGTCATTTCGTCGAACAGTTTTTGTGCATGGCTGATTCTCAGGAGTTTGAGATAAGAGTTAATGAGATTGTTGGTGGTAAAAGTGTCATTCGACAAACCAGATTTGATAAAGTTGGAATGAGTAGAGGTTACAGTGGTTAAATCCTTCTTGCTACTGGTATGGAAAGAGAATTGGTGAAGGTGAGGAAGAGAAAAGCGAGGAGAAGAAGAGGAGAGGGATTTTACCAAATTGGGCTTCATAAAATGGTTGCATGCGGACATGCAGTGGCGAGACATGGCTTTGACTCTCTCATCTTTATATAAACCCAAAAAAGAACATCACCATGTCACATATTTATTCCCTCCGTTCTCAAAATTAAAGTTGTTAATGATTGAATAAAATAAATTAACAGTTTTATAGAATTGTGAATTTTTTTAAATAACAAGGTATTGAAAAAAAAAATACATAAATAATTATATTTCGGAGAAAATTACGCAAATAATTATGTTTTAAAAAAGACTAATAAAGAGGAGATAAATGAGATGGCGCATCCACCTAAAGTTAGTCTTAGGCGTCATCCCACATGGCGTATGCGGTACCTTCAAGCTATGTGAGATTGAGCATGCACTCTCTTTTTAAGATGAGACATTGTCTCATCTGGATCCTCCTTGTATTTGTGTTTTCTATAAATAAGACTCCTTTTCTCCACAATTCTTCACCGACATCTGTTAGATTTTTCTGTTTGCCCCGCGAACTATCTATGCAACACACAAATCAATATATCAATTGGTACAGATCCGTTACTAATTCTGAAATGTTTGTGGTTGGTCCAAAGTATTTGATCGACTCACGCACACGATGGGCGTCGTCCTCAAATCCCCAACAAAACTACCAGCAATCATACATCGCCCAACAACAACCCTATCAACAAATCCAACACACATCAACTTCCCACCAAACACAACGACGATATAAATCCACCAGCACCCAACCTCAAACCCAAGACCAATACCAATACACACACATGTCTCACACACAATCACAGTATCAAGAACACTGACCATACATCTGACATTCAGATGTGAGCCCATCATCATCTCAGCTTAACCCAAACATTGACCTACTGTTAAAGAATATTCTCCAACCAACCCAACTTACCATTAGTCATCACATCACCATAGCACCCAACAATCACAGTACCAAACTCTACAAGATTCATTTCCTTTTTACCCTCCTTATTCAGACGACCAGTGTTATCGATCATTCATGGAACATCACTCCCACCAATACGACCAAACTTTAAGGGCATGGGTAACTGGTTGTTTGAAAGCAGATCTTCCGGATATGCTAATCTGACGGATTTTATGGATCCTGAATGCATTGACTTCGCAAGACCCTCGATCCAACCGCAACAGGAAAATCGTCGAAATACACCACGAATTAGGAGAGAACGTAGGTGCGAAACCACTGATCGTTATCGAGTCTCGGGAGACAGCTAAATAATATGTAACTTTTATTCTCATCATGTAATCGTTTAATTATTATTGAAAATCGAAGTTTCATTTGCGACGAAATTGTCTTTCATTTATTTAACAATTTTTTTTTTAAAATTAGACATTGCACCTAGGCGTCATCTGAGATGGTTTAGGACAAATCATATAGGCGCCATCTCATTTGGCGCCACCTTTAAAATAAATGAATGTATGCGCCATTTAAGATGGCTGAATCATATAACTCAAATCTGAACATGATTATTTACGTAATTATTTCTGAAATACGGTTAATTAGTATTGGTTGTCATAAATGCATAATAGAATGAATAATACTTGGATTTTTATTTTGAGACAAATTCTTTTATCTAGAAAAACACTTATTTTAGGATAGAGGGAGTGTATATTAATTGTGGTTTTAAATGAGATTATTTTTAAAAAAATTCTCTTTTATTTTATAATTTTTAATTGCATTAATTATTTCTTTTTAAATTTATTTTATTTATTTTTCAATCAACAATAAATATTATTATAAAAAATATAAATTAATTATTTTAAGAGGATTGACTTTGTCATTAAAAAAAATAGTGATGCGGTTTATTGTGTATTTACTTTTTAGAATTTGTTACCTTTATAACCTAGTTTTTCAAAAAAGATATCAAAATAATCCACGTTTCAAATAATTTCTCAATATATTCACTTTTCAAAAAAAAAACAACGAAAACACGGGTGTCAGACGAATTAGCACCTGCACCTAAAATTAAAGAGTGCGTGTTTGAATTGACATCTACACTAACTGTTGCCAACCCAATTGGTGCTTATGTGTATTTTTTTTAAAGGAGATTTCAATTGGCCTGACACCAGTGTGTGTTGTGATTTTTTAATTTAATAATGATTGCTAGATTGTATTAAAGTCGAAATCATAAATATTAATATTAATTCAGGATACGTTTACACACCAAAACCAAAAAACCATAACGATGTTGATTAAGTTGGCCATACCGGCCATCGATTCCACACCCCTAGATAACCAAACTCGTGGCCCTAACCCACGTTGTTGATTCATCTCAGGTATTTGAGAATTAGAGGTCCCAAGAACATCACCATCAGCAAATTCTCTAATAAGTTCTTGCATTTCTAAGAAGTCTTGTGTATGGAATGATGTGGTGTCGTAACTGAGTTTGTGACCCGTGCCAAAGTAAGTTGGAGTGGAGTGTGTTCGAGTTATGGGTGTGCGGCCAAAATGATTGAAGAGCGAGATTGGTGTGAATGAACGATTCGTTTAGAAAAAGTTGAAATGGTTGTTGTGGTGTTTGATAGTCATATTACATATTTTGGTTTTGTGATGCTTAGGCTTCTTGGCTATGGTATGAGGAAGAATTGTTGTTATATGATCGCTGGGTGTTTTGACTATGACGGCTACGATATAATGATGTGTTGGGGACATATGGATGTCAGTTGTCTTGATAAATGATCGTTTAGTTAGCGATGGTATGGGACATGCTTTTGGTATTCTGGTTGTGTCTAACATGTTCGAGTCCTATGTTTCTTTGTTTGTGGGTCAGTAACTTTCTTGGATAGGGAGTTATGAGTAATGGGTCTGATAATTTTGTAAGGGTTAGATGTCAAAGCTTCTTATGTGTAAATGACTCTACATAGATTGTATAGATACATATCTTCGAAAATAAACTCAAATCCAACTGATTTGTACCAAGCCATATAAGTACGAGTAGATCTTTCTTTAGATGGCATCACAAGGTCATGTAAGGCATGGTCACGACAGTGCTTCCATTTACGACACAAAGATCTAGTGAAGTCCTACCAAGGGACAAAGTTTCACTGGTCGTTAACTCTTTGTAGATGTCATTGTCTAAGGTATGGTCACGACGGTGCTTCCATTACGACACAAAGATCTAGTGAAGTCCTACCAAGGGACAAAGTTTCACTGGTCGTTAACTCTTTGTAGATGCCATTGTCTAAGATCTGTAGGGATCTGGGATGTTTTGAAGCATTGTCGAATCGCAGTTTCACACAATCATTATGGTACATCTCCAATGTGGTGGACATGATGATCGGTGTACATGCAACCCAAACAGATGTATCTTCTCTGATTTCATGTTGATCTTTCGAAGTTGGATATGGACTCCAAATGAAGTGAAGAAGAAAAATATAATAGATTACAAACTGAGTAATATTAAAAATAAATGATTATGAATTGATTTCATGTTGATGTTCTCATTCAATGGACTAGACCCATATTGACAGCTATCATGCATAAGCAAGGTTTTTCCTAGTTTTTATGTAAATTGACTATGTATTGTTATGTATTGACATATTCTTACCCTTTTTTTTTAAAGCCTACCTATGTATCATAGATTGAAAATCTTATGGAATGTCAGATTTATAACTGAGTTCGGATTAAGAACAAAACTGAAGCAAGCTTCAGCCAATTTTCAGATTCATTTTACAGAGTTCAAGCAAGCATGCTCAAAGACCACAACGCTAATTTCATGAATCATGTGGCATCCCAAAAATGTGGATGAAAAAAAAAAATCCTGTACCCAGACAGACATGCCCTCAAATCATATAAAGCATTCACTGGTCAAACACAGTTTACAAATATCAGAAGACATTTGGACTGAAGCAGGTGTCAATGTGAAATATGATCAGACATTTATGTAAAGCACCATACCTGTAGAATACAAATCCATTCACTTCACCTGATAATAAAAATCCAATTTCACTGAAGCTACAAATAACACAATAAATTTTTTTGTTGTCTGGGGGGTGGGAGAGGGGATTAACAGATGGTCATCAAATATGTTCTGAGATGGAGTTGCAGCAATCAAAAGCAAAAAAAAGCTGATGATGGTACCAATGAGCTGGAAAACTCAATGGAATTGATTACAGTACCCCGAACTTCAGCATACATCCAACAACAGCAGTCTACATTTTCAGCTCCTCTTTGGAGAAAACTTCCGAAAAACTCTTTTAGGGGGGCTATAAAAGATCAAGATTGATCATCTTGTTTAGCTAGTTGCAACAACCACTTCATTCGCCGAATCATATGATTGCTTCAGGCTAAGTACTTGAACATATTTGGATTTTCTTTGTCTCTTTCCAAGTAGTCCCGAGAAATCAAATCTTCAATCCTCTTTTTAATTGCCTTGACATCAGGCTGGAAAAAAACATGCCATATTAATTTTTTTAGCATTTGAGTGGAAAAAACACACAAGACTGCATTATAAAAGTGATCGAGTATGAAACCTTAAACATGCGACCCAACTGCTCAACGCACTCCATAACTAAATTTTGGTATCCCAAAACTTTCCGACTCTTCATAATACGCACAATTGAAGCATCAATGGCATATCTTCGGTCTTTATCAACATCCTCAATTACTTTTTTCTTCTCATCCACAGGAGGTAGAGGAATCTACAGGATTTTTTTTTTGCAACAGCTCCACTAAAAAATCGGGTGAAGAGAATAAAGAAAATATTAGAATGCTATTTTAAAATAAATTATACCTTGATCCTCCTCATTTTGTCAGTGAACTTTGAATTAAATTCAAAATAATCAGTGGGTGAAATTGTTTTTGTGTTGGGTTCCTTGAGAAGAATCTTATACTTTGCACATGATAAGGAGTGGAGCAGCCTAATGACATCTTCATCCAATAAGTTTAATTGAGTCATTATCTCAGAATAACTCAGTCTATCAGAGGAATTAAATAGCAGCAATGCTGAAGCCTATTGAAAAATAAGACACCATTGAGTAAGTAGAAAGAAATCCAAACAAAAATTCGCAGTAAAACGATCGGGTGAGGGCATAACAAATATATTGTCAAAGGTAAGCAAGTGATAAGCGATATAACCTGGTAGGTTGTGACAACAAGCTCCACAGTTTTTGGGTCAAATTTCCCACTTATGTTGCAGGTGCCCAAGGAGTAAATCCATGTAAGTTTTCTGTGCTTTGTTTTAGTTTGATAAAATTCTTTGAAAACTTCAACACACTTAACCTGAGGTAGAGAAAGAGAGAGAGGGGTATTAATTATTACACAAAAATTTAGGTTTAGTATCCATCACGGAATATAAAATTCTAGATTGCTATATCAAGAGGGATCCAGCTTACCATTTCTGCAGGAAGATTGAGATCAAAAGATTTATAACTAGGCCAGAAGCCAGTAGTTAGAACTGTAACTGTCAAGTCTATTCCAGGGTCTGCATTAGGATTATTGTTTAAATACTCCTCAAAGCTAGTTTGATTCTCCTTTGCCAGCGTCAAATCTGTAACCTGGTGGGAGTGAAAAAAATCTTTTAAATTTTCTTTTGCCAGCCAACAAAAAAAAGCAACATCTAGTATACTGGCCTCATTTAACAAATAATTGAAAAAACCTACCATTCCTTCCATCTTCGAGGTAAACTGTCCTCCACACTGTTGCTTCAATTTGGTCAAAATACTTCTCTCATGATCATCATTGGCACTCTTGTCAAAAAGAAGCCTTCGAGCAAGCTTTTTCCTGAAAGCAACCAAACAAGAACCCTGTATTAATTTCTTTTTGAAACATCTTATTATTACATCAATAAAAGGGCAATTTTAATTTTCAGACATAGCCACAATTTTCAGACATAGCCACAGAAAATTGTTCGCCGCTTTCAAGTAAATATTACATAATAAATAGTATCAGGTATTAACTGAGTAAGCATCAGTTCTAATAAATGCATTATGAATTTTTACAAAAGATCTGACATTCCAATTATAAATTGTTCTTTCTTAAATATCATGGTAAAATATTGTGATATTACTACATTTCTAAACTATAGAGAATACTAAAGAAACTATATTTTATTTAGTGAGTGGGGAAGACATTTCCCATCGTCAGTCTTGTCCAAAGAATTCCAAAACAATACTTCATTAAAATTTCCATCAGATATACTGATAACAGTCTAGATTCATCAAAGGAAATGTAATAAACCAGAAATAAATTTCAATTTTCCCTCGACATTACCTATTTCATTTATTTTAGCTAACCATTCATCTCAGTTATGTCAAGAACCAGCTAATCTAATAGTTTATACCGATAGGTGAAAGGTCCAAAGTTGGTTTTATATCTCTTAAAATGATGGCTTAAGCAAGTCTGTTTTGGCTTAAAATGTGGGAAAACGCCAAGGTTCAACTAAAGGAATAGAAGTGGCAGGAATTGATTCCTAATCAATTGATCATAAAGGCTCTAAAATACTGTCCTGAACCAAGTTTCCAAGAACCAAGTTTCCAAGAACCAAGTGATTAGGTGAAAGCCCAAGGTTGTTATATTAATGTGTCTAAAGTTAGGGGAAACAACTTTTGCAAGAGACACAATTTAACTCTTAGGCTTTGTTTGGAGGAGAGAGGAAGGAAGGGCTTAAAAGGGAGAGGATTTGAAGAAAAAATAGATAAACCTTTAACATTTTTTGAGATGGTGTTTTTGTATAGAATGATAAATGAATGTTTATCATTAATATACTTTTAATTTTCAAAATATTATAACATAGATTATATTTGAAGAACTTATCTAACCCCTCCTCCAATACAATTTTGAGTTCCCCCAAACTAGGGGCATTTTGTATTATGAATAAAAATACCCTCCAAGCCTCTCCACCTAAATCCATCAATTCTTTCCACTCCACCCTTTCCTTTTTTTCAAAATCTCCCCCTCTAAACTTCCAAACAAAGCCTTAGAAACAACCGAGAACTATAGCAACAATTTCAATGATAGGTGAAAGGTCCAAAGTTGGTTTTATATCTCTTAAAATGATGGCTTAAGCAAGTCTGTTTTGGCTTAAAATGTGGGAAAACGCCAAGGTTCAACTAAAGGAATAGAAGTGGCAGGAATTGATTCCTAATCAGTTGATCATAAAGGCTCTAAAATACTGTCCTGAACCAAGTTTCCAAGAACCAAGTTTCCAAGAACCAAGTGATTAGGTGAAAGCCCAAGGTTGTTATATTAATGTGTCTAAAGTTAGGGGAAACAACTTTTGCATGAGACACAATTTAACTCTTAGGCTTTGTTTGGAGGAGAGAGGAAGGAAGGGCTTAAAAGGGAGAGGATTTGAAGAAAAAATAGATAAACCTTTAACATTTTTTGAGATGGTGTTTTTGTATAGAATGATAAATGAATGTTTATCATTAATATACTTTTAATTTTCAAAATATTATAACATAGATTATATTTGAAGAACTTATCTAACCCCTCCTCCAATACAATTTTGAGTTCCCCCAAACTAGGGGCATTTTGTATTATGAATAAAAATACCCTCCAAGCCTCTCCACCTAAATCCATCAATTCTTTCCACTCCACCCTTTCCTTTTTTTCAAAATCTCCCCCTCTAAACTTCCAAACAAAGCCTTAGAAACAACCGAGAACTATAGCAACAATTTCAATGATAGGTGAAAGGTCCAAAGTTGGTTTTATATCTCTTAAAATGATGGCTTAAGCAAGTCTGTTTTGGCTTAAAATGTGGGAAAACGCCAAGGTTCAACTAAAGGAATAGAAGTGGCAGGAATTGATTCCTAATCAGTTGATCATAAAGGCTCTAAAATACTGTCCTGAACCAAGTTTCCAAGAACCAAGTTTCCAAGAACCAAGTGATTAGGTGAAAGCCCAAGGTTGTTATATTAATGTGTCTAAAGTTAGGGGAAACAACTTTTGCATGAGACACAATTTAACTCTTAGGCTTTGTTTGGAGGAGAGAGGAAGGAAGGGCTTAAAAGGGAGAGGATTTGAAGAAAAAATAGATAAACCTTTAACATTTTTTGAGATGGTGTTTTTGTATAGAATGATAAATGAATGTTTATCATTAATATACTTTTAATTTTCAAAATATTATAACATAGATTATATTTGAAGAACTTATCTAACCCCTCCTCCAATACAATTTTGAGTTCCCCCAAACTAGGGGCATTTTGTATTATGAATAAAAATACCCTCCAAGCCTCTCCACCTAAATCCATCAATTCTTTCCACTCCACCCTTTCCTTTTTTTCAAAATCTCCCCCTCTAAACTTCCAAACAAAGCCTTAGAAACAACCGAGAACTATAGCAACAATTTCAATGAATCAGTAGTCATCAGACATACACAGCACTGGAAGTAAGTACTAAAAAATGAAGATCGAAGACAAGTGAAATTTTCTTATTTGTCTAGACAACATATCACCCAAAATTTTGTCTTCTCTTTTATATTACCTGTAGAACTCAGCAAACAAGTCTTTGTCACTAATATAGGCGAGCAGCTTTACCACCTGCAGATAGAACAAAACAAATACCAGTCAAAATGGCATACATCCAGTTTATAGAAGTAGAAGTGTAAATATTGGGGACTTGTCAAATCCACATACATCAAATACATAAAAAAATATAAGTGTTGTGGACCTTTTCAAGAGTTTCTTCAATTGCTTCATCACTCAATTTTTCACTTCCTCCTTTCTTGAGAATGTTATCACAAAAAGTGGCAAGAAGTTCTGCACTAGAGTTTCCAGCAACACCTTTGTTGCAAAAGACCTCAAAAGCCTCTTTAAGAGCCTATATGATCAAATCTTTCAGATTTACATGCACATCAATCAAACATTACCGTAAAATAAAAACCATTCTCAAGACAAAACCTTGTGGAAAAGAGTGTGATTCTGGAAACATGAGTTCACATATGCCAGGTACTTGTCATGCAACTCAATCACCTTCCGAACAAAAACCTGAAGAAACAAATTTCAGTTTCCGTAGATGAAAAAAATCGTAGTTAAATTATAAAATGAGAAATTTCAAGAATCACCTGGTCCTGCGTACTAACAATATCCTTTTTATCTGCCTGTAGACATTATCAATTAAAAGGATAAAATAGAAAGGTCAGTAGCAAACATCAACTCACAACTTCAGCAGTACATGTAAGTGACTCAATTAATGCATCAATTTGTCATGAAAGCAATTCTAAAATCATTTCATGTTTACCATGCACTGAAATCTGAATAAAAAAGTCAATATGCACCCCGAGTAAAAAAAGTGAAAAATAATTGTGAACACTTAAATATTGCAAAATAAGCGTACACTAGTCTTTCCTCAATTACTGCATTTAGAAATTAAATCTTTTCAACCTGAAAAAAGCAAAATTGTAGAATTGCTAATTCAGGCACATACCTTTTTGTTACTAGCTGCATCTTCGGCGTGCTTCACCAATGCCATGCCTTCGGTGGTAACATGCTGGGAAGCGGGAAAAAGATAAAGATGTGCAAGCAAGTAAGAAGAAAGCAGAAACAGACAAGAACCCGGAATTTTAAATATGTTTAAATTATCAAAGGAAGGAAAAGCATAAAGATAAGTTCAATGCCACCAACCTGCTTAAATATGCTAGATACAGGATCCAAGCCACGGGGTATTTTAGAAAATAGCCTGAACATCCTTGACAAGTCTTCACACTAAACATTTGAAGGAAAACATGAGAACAACCCCATTCACGGTTAAAATTTATCTTATACATTACAATTAGCAAGTAAAAAGAATTCCATGCATACCTTATCATCTCTAAGTAGAGCATGACATCCAGAGTGTTCTTTCTCAAGGAGCTGACTTGCATACACAGACAACAGCTCATTTTGAACTTTCTAAGAGAAAATTTTCCAGGAGAACAAAGGGAAACAAAGGAAAAGTTTAGAAACAATGAATGCAGCCAAAAGAAGTCCATTATAATATGTAATAGATTATTTGAAAGTTGCCTAACAATCTACTTGGCATAGCAGAAGACTGAATAGGTGGAATGGTATACAATATCATAAAGTCAAGAACAAACCTCCAATAATTTTGGCTCACTGCTAGAGTGCAAGTAATGAGCAACCCTATCTTTCTCTCGTCTTAAGCACTCCTCAGCCTGTTGTAGAAAACACAGGATCAAATAGAGGACAGAGATACAAATGAAGAAACCAAATTACAGTAAGCACAAAATGGAAACCAAATTACAGTAAGCACAAATGAGAAACCATAACTTGAGCATATAATCAGGACAAGAATCTTCTAGGATCCAATTTGAAGCCTTTCGAGAATAATAAGCAGAAGTGTCTTTCAGCATGTCAGCTTCAAAATCAGTTTCATACTGGTCCATTTTCCCCATTCCAATTTCAACAAATATATCTAATACATTCTTTAATAGAGCTCGATCAATTTGCTCTCCCTCACGTTCTTGATCAATCTTTGAATAAAAAAGGATTAGTTAATTGATAAGAATTGGTACACATAAATAACCTACCATACAAAGAAAGGCAAGCATACAAGTGAAATAATTGCATCTCTCATTTTCCCATGTAGTTCCTTGTAAACCTGTAAATAATAAAAATCGTAAATTTATTTTGTAATGAAGAAGTATTAAATGCAACGATAATAACAGGAAAACATCAAGATTTGCAGTAATACTACAAAGCTTGCCTATATATTGATATTATGAACAAAAGTAGCTAGTAAAAAGAATTAACATGGCATCATGTAAAGTTTATTATAACATTACCAAATCACGGAAGCAAGCCAACCCAACTTCATTTAGTGGTGGAAGTGACCTCCGGGCAATAAAGTAGCGGTCCAAATAGTGAAAGAAGCGAGAAAGCCACCTCACCATAATTTTATGGTTTGCCCATCTCTTTACAAGTTCTCGTAACATAAACTCATCATGTTTTTCTCTCAAAGAAGGTAACACCTGAACCAGTAAGGGGGAAAAATTAAATAAAAAGTAAAACAAAAGATGGCATTTATTAGCATAAGGATTCTGATTAAAACATTTAAAGCGGACAGACAGGTAGAGAGAGCTCAAACTGATGAAATGAAATGATCAAAATTCAAAACATAAAAAGAGTTACTAATTCATTAAACTTTCAATTGCATGAATCAGTACCATATACCTAATTCGTCCCAAAATATCAGTTCCCATTGACCAAGGCACATAAAAACCTTGGTACTAGAACTAAATTTAAGAAATGAATTGTACCGGTGAATGTCTATCATCAAACCCACGTAAATTCTCTATTTGGATAAGGGTAAGATGATGTAAAGGCTTACAATTGTGACCCTTTAACTTCCTCTTACTTGCCACGTTGAGCAATCAAACATGAGAAAGGAAACTGTCTTCCATTGTATTTGTTCCCTTTTTCCTTTCCATTCAATCCCATGTCTCTAAAACTTCCCTAACATATGACCACTACAACACTGTCCCCACTACCTACCAATGAAGCACTAACATACACCAAGACATAACAGCAGCATTGACAATTTGCCAGACACCAATAGTAATTTGATAAAATGGAATTGAATAGATGTAGCCACGTGTGTCAATGTTGTCCAAATGTCAAACACTCGGAGATACCTTCAACCCCAGAGTCCAAACCACTTGTTCTCAAGAACAATACCTTGGCAGATGCCACTTGAATAGTATACTCTTTACCTTCCCCTTAACTCTAAAATATGATTAGTTGGTTGCACTTAGGATGAAACATTTCAAAACCGATGTCCAAATCCAATTGTCGCAAGAGTACAAACAACAACAACAACAACAACAACAACAACAACAACAACAACAACAACAACCAAGCCTTATCCCACTAAGCGGAGTTGGACAAAATATATCAAACAAAATATGCAGGTTTATGCAAGCTAAGCTAATAATACCATTACAATACTAAAAGGGTAAGACCATATGGACAATTTCAAAAGTTGAATAAAGCACTCAACACTAGAAGAATATGATATCAAAATGACAGTGTTACTCACAGTCGACACGATGTACTCTTCAAACGCCTCCTTATACTTATCATACAGATGTTGAGAATAATCATGAGGAGGCTTCTGAGTGCACATGTTATAGATGGTCCTGCAATACAATTCATACCACAACAAAAACAAACAGTCATCAAATGAAACATAGATAAAGTTGGAATTAGAAGAGATAAAAACGATAACAAAAAGAAGCAAAAGTTAAATCAGAATCAGGGATGATAAAAACATACGTATAGAGCATCATGTAATCCTCGGGGCTGAACTGAGGTTCAGGCAAACCTTCAAGAATATTCTTAAGCTTCATGATACCCCTATGCATAAAATCCCATCCTTGTTCTAGGTCGATAGTTTTCCGTTCACTCAACGACATGATAACACGAATTCACCAAAAATTCTGCAATCAAAGATTTCCGAATCGGATAAATATCAACATCAATGAAAATCAATCAAAGGAACTTTACTCGATTAGAATTATAATAGATTTACGAATAATAAATGCGAAAAACGATAGCAGTAAAGGCTAGGGTTCGATGATTGTGAAACAAACCTTGAATGAGATGAATCTGAGGGAGAAGAGAAGAGAACCCTAAGTTGAAGATGAAGATGGAGAAAGAGTGAAAGGGGAAGAACGTTGAGGAGAAGGAGCAAGAAAAAACAACACGAGCATTGATCGGAAAAGAAAAGACAAACGAAAAGTTAACAATATATATACACACACTAATCTAAAACATCATAAAAGAATAAGAATTAACCTCATTTACTTTATCTAATCAATAAAGTTCATATTTACTACTAGTAATTAAGAGGTTTGGATTCCGACATAAAAATATTATCTTATTTAAAGGTAAAATTATATAAAATTAACTTAAAAAAGAAAATTAAATTAAATATTGATAATATTATTTGATATTTTCGTTTAAAAAAATTATATGTATAAAGTGACATAAATTACTTAAACTAGAATAAATTTCAATAAAAACAATAAAAAACAAATTAAAATTTACTTTTTGGTATAGTCAATAAAAATAACATAAAAAGTTTAATATATATAAAGACAAATATAGAAAAAAGAATATATTCTAAATTTAATAATTTAATAATATATTTTATTAATAAAAATATATATTTTTTGTGTATTAGATAAAATGAATAATAAATCTAAAAACTATACCAATAAATAAAGTAAAATAATATAAAATTATTTTATATAATCAATACATCTCTTATTTTCTCTATATAGAATATGGTTCGATTAAAAAATTAAAATTTAATTTGATTAAATCAATTTAAATTAAATTTTTTTATTGATTTTGTTCACGAGATACATGGAAAAAATAAATTTGGTCAATTTAATTTTCTACTACTTCTTTATATTTTATTTGAATGATGAATAAAAGATAGAAGAAAAAAAAAGTAAAAGAAAAGAAAGTTAAAATATGAAAATATTATTTGATATTTTAGTACAAGAAAACGATATCTATTTATAAAATGACATAGATTTACTTAAACTGGAATAAATTAAACAAATCAAAATAAACTTTTTGGTATAGTCAATAAAAATAACATAAATAAGCATCAATATATAAAACCAAATATAGAAAAAAAATGTATTCTTAATTTGATAATTTATAAATATTATTTTATTAATAAAATTATAGTTTCTTTATGTATTACATACAATGAATAATAAATCTAAAAAATGATATCAATAAATAAAAATACTAATCAAATATTGTGTGATTAATTAATTAAGAACTATTATTAAATTTTTAATTGTTTGTTATATAATTTTTAATGTTATTTCTCATTGAGTATTTGCTTTTATTATGAGTCAATCTTTAAAATACGTAGGATCTTAATAAAAATAATTTCTCTCAATTGAAATAAAAAAATAAAGAAATTAATGATGAATCATCAAAATAGCTACAATACATCAATTTTAAAAAATAATTTTGAAGAAAATGAATAAAATAAAATATATTTTGGTAATTTTACTTTTAAAAACGTTTTTTAAGTGACACAATATTATAAATTAGACATTTAATAAAAAATATACAATTTTTTTATATTTTTTCTTCTTCTTAATTTCCACATATATATATATATATATATATATATATATATATATATATATATATATATATATATATATATATATATATATATATATATATAATCTTTTAAAGGTACGATTTAGACGTAGCTCCTGAGAGCTCATATTTTTATAGTATGAGTCCTCAGGAGCTACGCCTAAAGCGAGACTTGCAAGCTCCCCTCTACGTATCATGGATTGAAATTTTAAGTCTATTTGAATCTTTGAGGATGATGCTGGATTTATTTATCTAACAAGATTGATATAAAGATAAAAAATTGAATTTTATTTTTCAAAATAAGATTATAATAGAAAATTACTTAATATAAACTTAATCTAAAATGTAGTGCAATTCCCTAATACCACATATGTCCAACTATACCCCAATAAATCCTTATCATGCAGTTTCTTATTAAATTATATATAAGAATGCAAGGTCATAAACCAACATCATAATTTCTACATAAGAGTAAGAGGAAACTTCAAGTAATCCTCTTCAAGCAAATAATGCATAGTAATTTATTTTCCCAATATATGAATTATTCATTTTACTAAACACAAAATAACCAAGAAAATCATAAATAAAACATATTAGAAACTACGAGAAAAGGTCTAAGTGAAGGACATAGATGATGTAAAAACTTAAAAATACTTACAAGTTGAAAAGCAATCGTGAATGCAAAAATGGAGACACAGTGAACAAATATGGTAGAAATGAAATATGAAAAATTACAATGGAAATACATAAATGATTGACCAAAAGTTGGAAGCATTTAAAAAACAATAATTGTAATCAAAAGGATCAACACATAATCATTAGATCCAACAATATTGTCTTGGACATATAGCAGTGTTAAATCTCTTGAAGGAGAGCTGACCCACCTATATGGTCATATAAAACTTGAGGGAGTAGTCGTTGTAATTGCGCGCGGAGGATATCCCAACTTATACAAAAAAAAAAAAGTAGTAACAATTACGACATCATGTCACCTAGACAAAGGGACACAACCACTTGTCAAAATCGGATTCCGAAGACATGACAACTTAGAAAGGTTCTTAAACTTCCACTTCACACCCGATCTGTAAGTTTATAGGGACTAGAGGTACCACTTCTATGAAACTCACCTTAGAGAAAAAAATCACATTAGAAATTTATTATTTATTTTTCTAAATTTCAAAGTTTCTTATACTTATTACCTATTAAAATAGCTAAGGGTTTAACGAGTTTGTCTATTGATAGGATCCTCTCTTATACTCTAGTCAAATATACCATATATCATCCATTAAGGGATCTCACTTTCGAGTCCAATATTGATAACAATGACGCAACACGAAAGCTACCACAAACTTATTCCCAAGGATCTACCATTCATAAAATAAGAAATTTAGAAACACTGGCGAGCTTCTAACACTCTTAAATCATGAAGCATATTTAAATTAGTTTCGTCATTATGTTATGCCAACACGTCACACTTATCCAACAAAGATCTCAAGATTTCCATAGTAAGAATATAAATTGTTTGTAGCATATACAAGTCCATCGACATTATAAATTTGGATTCACATTCAAAGTATGATCATTGCATTATCAATTCACTTATTTACTTGATGATGCATGCAATCCATCTTACTTTGACATTAAAGGTTCTTTCCAAGTATACCCCCATTTTTTGAGAAGTGGCATATGACCAGATACATGGAACCAAGAGTCTTGATATTGTGACATGAATTTTACATCCCCAACTTTAACAATCAATCTCATGTTTTATACAAGAATAATAATATACATGAACAATATCTCACTAATTAAAACTAACAACAAATTAACTCTATGATTCATTATTACACCAATATTTCAATATTAGGTACAATAATCTTAATGTTGTTTTAATAGACCCGACTTACATACAAACATTAGAAGTTGTAACTTGAATGTCATAACCATCAACTTTATACCTTTCTTTTGGATTCAAATTCCATGCCTTTGAGGCGAAAAAGGTATGTGTCATTTAGGAAATTTGATCCATGTGGATGACTTATGTGGTCCAAAATATGCCATGGGCCATGATTCTTTTTCGTATAAATAAAATAAAAAAGTATGAGCTCTCAGAGGCTACACCTAAAGCGAAGCTTGCAAGCTCCCTCTAGGCACCATGGGTTAGGATTTTAAGCCTATTCAAATCTCTGAGGATGATGCTGGATTTATTTATCCAACAGGATTGACATAAAGATAAAAAATTGAATTTTATTTTTCAAAATAGGATTATAAATAGAAAAATACTTAATATAAACTTAATCTAAAATATAGTGCAATTCCCTAATACCCACATATACCCAACTATACCCTGATAAATTCTTACCATGCAGTTTCTTATTAAATTATATATAAGAATGCAAGATCATAAACCAACATCATAATTTCTACATAACAATAAGAGGAAACTTCTAATCAATCCTCTTCAAGCAAATAATGCATGCCACTATGAGTTTGTTCAGAGTAATTGATTTTCCCAATGCATGAATTATTCGTTTTACTAAACACAAAATAACCAAGAAAATCATAAATAAAACATACTAGAAACTATGAGAAAAGGTCTAAGTGAAGGACATAGATGATGCAAAAACTTAAAAAATACTTACAAGTTGGAAAGCAATTGTGAATGCAAAAATGGAGACACAATGAGCAAATATGGTAGAAATGAAATATGAAAAAATTTACAATGGAAATACATAAATGATTGATCAAAAGTTAGAAGCATTTAAAAAACAATAATTGTAACCAAAAGGATCAACACATAATCACTAGATCCAACAATATTGTCTTGGGCATGCAGCAGTGTTAAAAATCTCTTGAAGGAGATTATATTCTATGATTCTTGTTATTATGAGAGTTAATCGTATTCATGATTCTTGTTGTAAATATGGTAACATAGTAACCGTCATATCAGTAAAATTAGAATAACTTATTTATAGGAATAAGTTACTGAATTATAGGAACATATTTATCTAATTAAAGAGATGTATATGTAGGGGTGGTAAAGCGGGCGGTCTGACCCGTTTTGGTCCGCCCCATTTAAGCTCGTCCAAAAGTGGGACGGGGCGGGCCAACTTAGGGGTCCGAGCTCAAAAGTCAAGCATGTCCCATTTACTTACGAGTTGGCAGGTTGGCGGACCGGTCCACCAAATTTTTATTTTATTTTATTTGATAATTTGATTTACTACATAATTTTAAAAAAATATTTATTATTAGAGAGGTCGACAAAAGATTTTTTTTTACA